TGGGTGCATTTTATATATATATATATATATATATATATATATATATATATATATATATACACATACACACAAACACACACACACACACACACATATATATATATATATATAAAATAAAAATTGACAATATATGATCCATTGTATTTGCAACTACTTGCAGTTACGAGCAGACTGCAGCTCAGTAAGGTAAGTAGTTGCAAAACCAATGGATTGCATATCCTGTCAATTTTTAAAAAAATATATAGTTCCCAAGCCAGAAAAACAGTGTGCTTGAGCAGCCTGGGTTGCTGAGGGGCAGAGGAAGGCCCAGTTGCTAAAGTCACCCCGCTCAGCGCCTGGAACGTGTTGCCGCTTGCGCCACCAAGACACACAGATGATTGACATGCATTTTGAAGTGGCACAAACTAGTAGGAATGACAGTTGTGCCCAAAAAGAAGCAATTACAAGGGAATAATGAAAAGTTCCACTTTCATAGTGGGAACGACAGACCTTTTGGAATCAATTCACCGACGCGGAGCGAAGGCAAATCGCAAACCGGTTTAAATGTAAGTGGGAACGAGCCCTTAGTGGAGCAAGGTACGGTTCTTATAATGATAGCTTCACAAGAGTTGTCAGTAAAAGGATTTTTATGTTCCAGTATTATTTCTTTCAAGTTAGAAACATCTGAAAGGAATAGCAATGGAGTTGATAATGCCTGTCTTTGCCAGGATGGGGAGAAATGGCTATGTTTAATCTGCGCCAAGAGTTCTAGAAAAACATGGATTCGTCATGTCATTTCCCCCATTATTATCAGTTGCTTCTTTGCCCAGTGACCATAAAAGAATATTTGTGTTACCGTACTTGAAGTTTGAGCTCTACAAATGTTCTTTTGAGACTGCACATTTTTGTCTATGGAGTCATTTTATTATCATAGCATGCACAAATTCTTCTCAACAAAGTGGGTACTTTGTAAAACTGGCATAACCCACAGTTTCTCAGTTATAGCCTTGTCCCCTGCCATATAGGTATGATGATAAAGATAGGTTCTATCAGCATGAATTGGTGTGGTAACTTTCCAAATATTTACAACTTCAGGGGGAAGTACCATGCAAATAAAGCCAAAGTTAGAAACATTGTAAAGTCTTGTCTTTCCTGCTACAATTTTGAGGGAAGAAAGTAGACACTAATGCCCAATCACATCTACATTTTTAATGGGCTACAAACACTTCCCACAATGGACTTTCTTCTCCAGAAGGAGAATGTGTCCATTGTTTTGTCTTAATTCATTGGCTAAAAATACTTATAAACCAACTATGTACAAACAAATGGGCTGAGGAAGAGTAGGCTGTTGTGTACCTTCAAGTTGTTTCCAGCTTATGGCACCCCAAGGCAAACTTATCATAGGGTTTCCTTGGCAAGATTTGTTCAGAGGGGGTTTGCCTTTGCCTTCCTCTAAGGCTGAGACAATGTGAATTGCCCAGGATCACTCAGGGGTTTTCCATGGCCAAGTGGGGGTTCAAACCTTGGTCTTCAGAGTCATAGTTCAATATTCAATCCATTATTGCACTGCCTCTCTCTAATGTATGCATTGTTGTTAGCTGCCTTCAAGTAGACCCAGACTCATGGCAATCCTGAGGATGAGACAACTCCAAGCTTCCCTATCTTCCACTGCTTTGTTTAGCTCTTGTAGATCCAGACCCATGACCTGCCTGATTGAATCTATCCATCTGCTGTGTTGTCTTCTTCTCTTTCTTCTGCTTTCTACCTTTCCTAGCATTATTGTCTTTTCCAGTTATTCATGCCTTCTCATTCTGTTTCCAAAGTACGACAGCCTCAATTTAATCATCTTGGCTTCCAGGGAGAGTTCAGGTTTGATCTGTTCAAGGATCCATTTGTTTGTCTTCTTGGCAATCCATGGGATCCTCAGCTCTCTTCTCCAGCACTACATCTCAAATTAGATCATTTTCTTTTTATCCACTTTCTTCACTGTCCAGCTCTGACACCTGTACATGGTGATGAGGAATATAATGGACTGGATCAGGGGTAGGCAACCTAAGGCCCGGGGGCCGGATG